AATCTTATTCACAATTGTGATGAAACCGGGATATCGATGAAAGTCAATCGGGGGAGAGTTCTTGTGCCGAAGGGGGTTAAGGGGGTCCCATGCAAAAGCTCTGGCACAAAAGACCGTGTAACATTCCACATTGCTGTGACTGCAGAAGGTAAAACATTGGCACCCATGCTCATTTACAAGAAGAGCTTTCCCAGTGGAGCGTACACACAAAGTGGTTCGGATAACACCCTGTACGCAGTGTCGGAGTCGGGGTTCATGGACAAAGACCTGTTCGAAAAATGGTTCTGCAACCACTACGTCCGCACCCTCCCTCCGGATAGGCCAGTACTTCTCCTCCTTGACCAATGCGAGGCTCACCTATCAGTAAAGACAATCCAAACAGCACTAGATGAAAACATAATCTTACTTGGCCTCCCCCCACACACATCCCATTTTTTACAGCCCCTGGACAAGACCTGCTTCGGTAGCCTTAAGGACACCTTAGGCTCAATCGTTCAGGGGCTAATGTTCGAAAACCCGGACTTTCAGCTGAGCAAACGTAACATAAGTAAGGTCGTCAAAGCCGCTTATGAGAAATCGTTCACCATGACCACTGTGAAAAAAGGGTTCAAGTCAACGGGGTTGTACCCATGTGACAAGAATGCTGTGAGCAAAAGGTGGGTGAATGTAGGGCAGTCAATCATCGATGTCCCTTCAACGTCTCAAGAAGATTCCGAAGTCAACAATGGCACCCATGTACCATCATGCCAGCCCTGCAGGGCCCCAGGATGCAAGACATGCGGACCACCTCGCACAAACGTGTTGGTTGGCAGGATGGTGCCAACCGAGCTGTCGGACCTGCTAGTTCCGCCACAGGTACAAGAGAAGAAGACAAGGGTTTCCAAGGCCATAAAAACGGCGCGTGTTTTCACATCGGCGGAAGTTCTACAAGAGCAAGTGGAGAAAAAGAAAAAGAGGGAGGAGAGATTGGCGAAGAAGAAGAAGAATGAGACAGGAAAAGCGGAGTTGGGGGAAAAGAGAGAGAAGCAGGAGAATCAAGTTGAATCAGAGAGGCCGCCTGCTCAAAAGAAGGGTGCTCAAAAGAAGGGGAAAAAACGCAAGCGAGAAGAGAAGGAGAACGAGGAATTGCCAGCAGCTTCCCGAACTATGCTGTCAGCGGTAGGTACACACGCCGGTAACACCGAGTTTTAAATGATCTTATGTCTGTGCAGAATTGAGCTCATTTTACGAACTGTTAACAATGAAAAATTAGTGAAATATTGCAGAAAATAGCAACGCCACGTATTTACTTGGTTAGTTGAATGTGTAGTGAACTTTATGTAGACTCTATCCTCGACTTGTCTTTTTTTATATGCTGTTAACCTAAATCTTGTGGCACAATTAAACTTACTGTCAAAGACAAAACGAATTTAATATTTTCTCACCAGCACCCAGAGGCAAGCTCCAGCCGAGTCCGCAAGCCGCCAGTCTGGCTTCAGAACTACGTGGTCAAATCAAATCTTTATTGAATATCAACATTGCAGACGTGCCGAGTACTTCGGGCACGTCTGAATTGCATTGACATTTTACAAACATCATCACAATAGATTAAAAACATCATCATTATTTAAAAATCAACATCAAGAACACGTAGGTTAAAATAGTACAATTTCACTTTAAAATACAATATATATATACATGTCTAATAAACATCACAAGTCTTTTACGTCTCTCACAATGAAGGAGTTTTTGTGTCTGTCCGATCGGCTTAATGGGAGCTTAAACTGATTGCTGTTCTTCCTAAGATTATATACAGTGTTCTTTCTTGGTGGGATAAAGTCATTGCAGGGGTTGGTGGGGTCTTGTAGAATCCGTTTTAGCTCTCTCAGTGATGCCTCCCTCCTCCTGCACTCGAGAGTGGGCAAGTATCCATGGGGAACTCCGCGAATCCTGAGGCACAGCTTCTGAATTCTTTCCACCTCGTCTGACAGACAACGCGGAAGACCGGCCCAGACGGGGGACCCATACTCCAACACAGGTCGGATAAAGGACTTGTAGATTTGCAGTAGTACTTTCGTGGGTAGGGCAGCACGCCTGGCTACGCGCAGGTAGTGTATGCGCGGCTGGACCTTTGCTAGCATGTATTCCACATGAGGTCCCCACTTAAGGTCGTTGCTGACCACAATTCCAAGGAGCTTGAAGGAAGTCACTCTCTCAACGGATTCACCATTCGGTGGCTTCAGACGACAGGGTTGCGACCTAATTGATACTTAATAGTTTCATCATAGTTAGTTTTGGAGTTTTTAGACTGAAAAAGTAATGAATTTATCATTCCTTTCATTTAAACCTGTTAACTTCAGTTGTATCTAACGCAAGGTTACCAGTTTACGGTCGATTTATGGAAAATTGCATTTTTTGTGAAAACGCGTGGGCAGAACCAAATATTTAACCCATGTGAGGAGACAGTAGTTCGTCAGTTTTAAAGTGCGTGTTGTGTTACCTTTTTCCTTGTATCTTTAGCGCCGCGCCAGCATGTATTTATGTAGTAGTCGTCAGCTAAGAATTTTCCTCAGTAGAACGTCACGTTAAAGCGTCGGTCACAACTCGCCGTACGTGCTTTTGCGTGCTGTCTACGTGCAAAAACGTGGACAATCGTACGGCATCCGTGCGTGGTGAGTACCACCTCCGTACGGAATCCTACGGATTTTGGAGCACGCAGACACGCCGTAGAACGTTAAGTGCATGTAATACTTTTTCTACGTGCGGTCTGCGGATTTTCCACCCGTGCGTGCGAGTACGTGCGACGCGCGTGCCCCGTACAGCCTATGAGCGTGCAACGTACGGACTCCGTGAGTCTAACTTCACTATTCTCACGTGCAATTGCTGTACGGACAGCGCACGAAGCACGTGCGTGCCACGCACGGTGCTTGCGTCGTCCGTGCTTACTCCTCACTTCCCAGTTGACCTGCTCAATGACCACGCAGAACACACGTGCACCATACAAGGTGCTCCGCACGTGCAACGCACGTGCAACGCACCTGATTTCTACAGTATATAAAGACGACTTGACGGGCGACTGCCAACTGTTACTGTCTCTGCTGTCACTAACTGCGACTGTATCCAAGATGCCCAGGAAGGCTCAGAAGAAGACTGCCAGACAGGACCCCAAGAAGCGGGCCGCGGAAGACACCAGGGCGGCTAGTGATGATGAAGTTAACAGGAGGTGCACGCACTTACAACGTGCGAGTGAGTAAGGAAACCGTGCGTACGCCGCACGTGTAGGTACGGCCTGTACGCGGCAACGTAGCAATCGCACAGAGATCGTGCGTTGTAAGCACGTACAACTCACTTACCACTTGCGCAACGTACGATGCACGCAACCGCTGACGGCCAGGCGTGTCGTGCAGACCACGTACGTACACCTTGCGCAACCGTGCGAGTGACGTACTCCCTCGGCCGGCCACCCTACGTTTGCAGAAAAAACGTAGCAGACGTAGCCACGACAAAAACGTACGGACAAAAAGCACGCACGGCGAGTTGTGACCGACGCTTTAGTTGAATAAGGCGCGCCATGGGCCCATGACGTTCCATGAAACATGTGCAATATTCTTTGCAACGTTTTAAAACGTGAGCAACTCACTTCCCGTGGCATTATAAGGTATTATATACTACGACCTTGTAGCTCTTCCTCTCCATTCAGAAACTCTTATCATTTGACCCTGCCCTGTCACCATGCACCAGCTGTTTGTAGCGAGGTCACGAGAGTCAACCATTCCTGTCTCCAGAGTGTCTCATTCAGCGAGCGATAAGGGTACGATGCAGTTCGATTTTGAAATAAAAATAAACACTTTGGTCTTTCTGTGTTATGTTGCATAATCGTAAGTCATACGTATCGTTATATGAAACTCATTTTACTGTTACATACCAGTAACGCTCCGCACCCCTTACTAACAGTGGTATCGCCGAAAGCCAGCTGTTTGTAGGTCACAAGAGTCAACCATTCCTGTCTCCAGTGAGGGTGTCTCATTCAGCGGACGATAATAAAGCATGATGTCATTTTTAATTAAATAAAATCTCTATTAAAAAAAAACATGTCCTTGTACAGTATTGTCATGTTTTTAAGAGGTTGGGTAAAACTAGATTGAGAAGGGAATATTTAAAACTTTTGACAAGAACAGGATGGGTTACTGAATTTGGTGCAGTCCCCTCATTTCGCGCCGTTTTTCGTCCTTCCTGACTTTCTGTCATCAGAGAGAGCAACACACGACTCTTATACTGGGTAAGTATTGATCACTAATTTTCTTTGAAATCGTCAAACAAGGGAGCAAAACTGCAGTCTTCCACTTATATCAAGCAATGTTACATTACGTAAACACATAAATGTTCGGTCAAGTTTGGAAAGAATTCCCCTTTCCCTCTTTGCATATTTTCCCGCGACCTTAATTAGTTCTCTCCCATACAGAAATATCTGGCGAATCTAGATCTGACGAAAACTGACAGAGGTCCTAATACCTACGCTGCACAATGGTAAGTCAAGTACATGTTGCCTCAAACAACAGCTGAATGACAAACAAGTGATAAATTTGAGTAACTTTCTTAACAAGAAAACCATAGGAATTAAACAGTAATAAACTGGTTTTCCTTTACCCTTTTTCTTCTTTTGCTTCTCCCTCTTTTGTGCTGCCATGGCCATCTCATCTGCTTTCCGGCTTTCCCGCTGCTTTCGTCTTTCTTCTTTTTTCAGCTCTGCGTCGTCCCTCTTCTTCTGCTGGGCCTCTTTCTCCAGAATAAACTCTTCTTCGGTGAAGACTTTCGCACCTGATTGGATTACATTTATAGTTGGTCATAGTTGATGTTCAGCGCGGACCTCCATTCAGGGCCCCCGTTGGAAATATCAAGAGGCAATCGAAGATCCCAACAGTCCTAACGTGGATGTGGCAAATCGCAACACTTTTACACCAGCAAGATTTATCGAGCTTTATCGACACTGGCGCAAGATAAAAGCCCTTGTGTTATAATTGTTAGAAAAATATTGCTTAACTTACCTTTGTAGATTTGTTATAATAACTAGTCTATCACGGATTAGTACGTTTAGCTACATCGTAAAAATTACAATCTGTTTGTTTAAATTGTCTCTGATTAATATTAGGTGTTAGTAACAGTAAAAAAGTGTTAGTGTTTTTGTTAGTAACATCAAGGACGTTATCTGATGCCCTTGGTAACATGAAACGAACAAACGAAAAACAAACGAAGTCGCCAAAACACAGCAATAAAAAATAAAGTTATGTGTATGTTTTGTGTTTGTTTTGAACGTCCGGCCCTATCGTCAGACTTGGCCGATAGCCACGTACCTGAAAACAGGAAAAGGGAATAATTGAGTTTGGAGGTGTGAACAACAACGTAGTCTACTCTCCTTGATGCTATTATATCACCAAATCCACTGCCCCCATCCACAAAGAAACAAAAAAAAAATGTAGGGAAAAATAACGTCCTCGGACGGTAGCAAAAAAAACAACAACAACTTCTTTCTCCAGGCTCCCGCTCGACGGGTGCTGGTGTCTGGACGCCCGCAACAGTTCAGGCCGATGGGAATGCTGCTGAAACGTAGGACCTCGCGTCGTGCCGGTGAGAAGGGGCGGGGAAATCCACAAAGAGTGCTCCGCCCTCCATTTCTCTGAAGTTGCCGTGCTGCGCATATGAGTGTAGCAGGATCTCGTGGTATTAACGCAAAAGTCACGCTGTATTTTTCCGTAATTACGCTTCTCCCTGCCAAATCTAACCAAGGACATTTTAGCCGTATTCCCGCGTTAATTTCAGGGCATTCCTGCGACAAAGTGGCAACTGTAACGTAGGCTGTACTGTACGTTCTTTCCTGGAACAAGTTGCCGTGAGCAGCGTACGCAACACATTGCAACCCTTCACTTATGCGCCGTTAAATAGATGTTGGTATGGACTCTTGATCAAAGCTGTAAGTTTCAGTTTTACGTTGGTAGCATGATAAAAGTAACATTGTATCAAATAAATACTCAAAAGCCCACTTGTATATTCATGGTTCAGTAATATGCTGGACTCTAGAACGCCGAACATGACCCACAGTTACGTCGCAGAGGACCGACCTTGTTATGTCCAAATAAATGGCGCGTTTCGTTCCGATGCGCCACAAAGTATTTGTTTTACTACCTCCAAACGAGTAAGCGTTAACTCTAGGAATAAAATCCAAAGGCTAAAAACACTTTCAATCCATATTTTGATACTTCCTGACAAATTATCAAAAGTGGCGAACTCGGGGTACACCCTTGGAACTACCGCCCTAGTTACGTCGCAAAGTAGAAGGTTGACCCTTGACCTCAACGTTCGATCAATCACCATGGTAACACGTATGTAAAAAGTCTAACAAAAACTCTTTCGACATGGCCATATATCATCAAGAAGTTCATAGAATTTTCCTTTGAAATGTGTGATTTATGTTAAAAAGTGGCGAACTCGGGGCCCCCTCCGTTACTGATGTAGATGCCTCCAGTTGTGCTTAGGACTTCTTACTTTTTGCGTTTTTCTCATCCCTCTTCCTCCCTTTCTTCGTCAGTTCTCTTTCATAGCCTTGTCCTCCTCTATCTTTCTTTTTCTCCTTCCGTTTCGTCTCTTTCCTAGCTTTGTCCCCTGCCTTTCTATTTTTCTCCTTCCGTTCCGTCTATTTCCTAGCTTTGTCTCCCTCTGCCTTTTTTTCTCTTTCGAGTTCCTTCAAAGTTGATGTCTCTTCTTCTCGTTTTCTTTCTCTTCCGCTTCCTCCTTTAATAGGAATCGCAGTTGCGATAACATCAAATTTTGACCATTCTGCACAGCTTAAAGGGGCCAAAAGGACCAAGGTTTGACCAACAAAATGGCGGATGGCTAATCGTGCACTCTGATTGGTCAAATTGCAAAGTTCTAAAATTCGACCGGAAAGGGAACAGATCGTTTTGTTGCCGTGTATTTTTTAGCACGTCATCAATCGAGCTGGTTGGTTGTGTATTTATGTAGCTCTTCCCAGACCTTGCAAATTTTTTCTCGTACCATTCCCTACTACCAACTTCAGTTGTGAAAAGAATGGGTTTTAAATTGCTGTGAATGTGACTTTTATTTAAGAAATATTTATTTTTAGTGAATTAATCCATGCTTTGTCCTGGTGGGCCATGTTTTGGATTAGTAAAATACAATGTGTCCAGAGTCGCCCGTATCGGCTTTTCTTGACTTCATCATCGGCTTTTCTTGACTTAACTCTATTTGGCGCACTACGATTCTGTGTGTCTTAAATATTTTGGTGGATATAACGCTGTTATCAACGTGTTTTGAAAAAGTAGACCGGTCCTATTCCTTACATTAACCCTTAACTTGCTCATAGTAAGTTCGAAATTTTATCATCATCATTGAAATTTGCTACTACATTAATCTTAGACGGGCGAGAGGCAGAAACTGTAGTCTTGTACGTATCAGTGGTAACATCTGGCCACATCGCTGGTAATTGCGCCATGACGCGCACACTATATCAGGTTACAGGCGGTAATGTTGCCAACTATGTGGTTCCCGCCAGCATGGTATACGGCATTTTAATTGGTCCTCGCCAAAATGCAGATAACTTGAATATGACAGAACGAGTTGTGGGCGAGGGGCCGGGGCCCATTGGCGATCTGGTACACTTCCCTTCAAGTGCTACTTGAGGAAGCTTACTATTTAGGTAGTAAAGTGCAAAAGGTGAGATCATTCAATGATTTTTAATAGAACAACTTTGAAGTAGAATTAGTAAGGCGACGTTTCAGGGAGGTGGGGGGGGCGGTTAGGTATGTGATTCATACCTAACCGCCATATCCAATGCACCAGCCCCAATGTTCCTTGATAAGCTATGGCAGGAAATTAGTTGGCAACAGTATTACTAGCTTTGAGGTTAATGGCAGAACTTGGATTTAAACGACCATTTTCTGTTACTCGTTCCATTTGGATTAAACATGCCAATATCTATTATGTATTCTGCACATGAAACACGTACATAACAATTCGTCACAGGAGCTGTTTTCTTTTTTTAGGAAATGGTTGCATCACTAACGTTGCTCTAAATTCTAGCTAGCTTCTGAGACATGGTTAAATTACGATACCAAGTGACCACATCGTGATCGTCTAACCTTTTTACAACCGTAGTTGTGTTTCTTTGTCACAAATTCTACTTCCCTGACATTTTGAAATATATGGACATTGTTTTGTAAGGTATGGTGTCAGCAAGAACCCATAATGCTTGGTCAAGTTCATAGTTGCGCCATGCCATTGCCTGGGTTCGCAAGTCATTTTCCAAGGTTGGCACGCAGATAATGATTTCTTATTTGATTGATATCTAAAATCAAGTGGTGTGCTGATTTCCCTCTCTTACCCATCAATGGCATGGTAGTATATAATTACTAGTAGAAAAATTCGGGAAAGTGTATTACAACCCTCTTTATTGACATAAAAATGTTTATATTAATTGATAGATGAAGAGTGAGTAAGTGATCGATGAAGAGTGAGTAAAATATCGATGAATAGTGGGTTATATGTGTTGATAGGTCAGACATGCAGTGGTAGATAATGCCGGCAGTCACTGTGTAACGGGTTGCTTTTGAGTAAGGATTCGACATATAATGCTAACATTCCCTACCATAATACCGCCACTAATCATAATACGTCCAAATTTAAGAGCAGATGTCTGTAAAAAAAACAGAAAAAAGTGGACCAAAAAAAAAAACAATTTTTCTCAAACTTTGTGTGGTAGTAGGGACTTAGCCAAACCTACAAAAATGAAAAAGTTTTGGGCCCCTGGTTATTTGTTGCCATTGCAACGGCCATTGTTCAAACGGCCATTATTCAGGCCTTGGGTGGTGTGTCTGAAGACTGGACCACCTTCTCCGCATTTGAGTAATGGTGATATGTCTGCAGCGTCAGTTGGTATTAATAGAACCAAAAATAAAACGAAAGGCGGATGTCACATTTTTGGTTTAGACCAAGCTTTATGTACGACTTTGTGTCGATGTAGTGACCCCTTTGGGAGAATTTGTGTGGTCTGTTTTGTATTGTAATGTATTGTAATGCAAAGGGTTCTAAGACTAAAAGTCACACAAAACAACAACAAAGAAACCCGGCCACTTGCTATTCTGGCAGACGATTCATTGATACTTGATATCTGTCCGAGGGAGTGTGAGTCTTGTGTGAATAATATGCTGCACACCGGCGGGAGGGGATTGCTTTCCACCTACTTAAGTGCTACTGGTACGTTTGGACAGTATCGGTTTCTTAATAGTTGGGTTTCTAGTATTTTCTGGGCATCCTCGATAAATGATGTGAAACTGTGAGAGCTGTGTTGTCGACGGCAAGTTTTCTCCCTCGAGCTGAGCGGAGTCCACTTTGGTAACGCCTGTTTCTGCCTGTCCAAGGATGATTGGGTTTGGCTCATTTGTCTTCCTCCCTTAAATCAGCTGCACCGCCTTGGCCCAGTTTTTTTGCATGTTTGCTTCATTCTCTTCTACCATTATGTCGCTAAATTGGTTTGCCAACTTTTACAGTCCGCCCTTTGAGGGCACTGAAAAACCCAGCGTGGCTGCCATCTCTCTGGCAGGTAGGAGTACTACATAGCTAATGGCACTGTTTCAATGGTCCTGTGTTGTGCATGCCATACAGTTTCTGGCCACGCTTCACCCTCCGTGTCAACAGTTCTGGCAGCACTGCTGGCCCACTTTCGGGCAAGATGACATGTCTGCAAAACTTGTTTAAACCTGGAAGCATGGAGAGTCCAACATATCTTATTGACTGTGCAAAAAAACTGTATAGGCTTTCCCGACAATCGTGTTTTAGGGATTTTTGCAAAATTAGCTTGATTTTGAATTATGGGTAATTTAGTGCGAAAAAAGCCCCAAAAATCTAATTTTTCACCTATTTGTCACCAAAAACTATTCTTCTTTAAGTCGGAAATTTAAAAATCCCTAAAACAC